ATTATATATATATATAGTTCTTTTGTCGTGGTAGAAAAAAAATTCCCGTGGAACCCTAACCCCCTCTAATTTACATTAATTCTTATGGGGAAATTGGATTTGCTTAACATCGTTTTGCTTAAAGTCGCATTTTTCAGGAACAGAACTACAATGTTAAGTGAGCAGTTACTGTACACGCTTAAAGCCAATTCTTGTTAACTAAACTATGATTTATTAAAAGAAAAAAAGATAGCATTGGCTAAAAGATCATTAGACATACAAATGCGAATAGAGTCCTTAGGTCAATTTCACCATAGAGATGGCACGTTAGAATTGAAAAGAGTCCTTTTCAGAATCATTTCATCACTTTCTAGTCCAATATCCAAATGTTCAATATCAGGGCAGTCCAGAGGGGACTGGAGATCTTCCGACTCAAACTCACCCTGAATAAAGCTTAAGAAGATCGGAGATGAAAGGATCAGGACCCAAGAGTTTATATAGACATTTTTGCAGCCTCTCGAAAGCAGGCAGTCCTTGGGTGAACAATAGGTTTTGGAAGTAACCTCCTATTTCCCAAACATCACAGGTAATAAAACTACATTGGATTAACATAAGGTAATTAATTATCCATTAAACCATTCATAGACAGTTTACCACAAACTTTAAAGATATATATGTATACAATGATATTATTACACCCAAGTTTCATCTAAATGTTATATTTCCTTTTGACTTCTGAATTAACAAAATACAGTCCTAGACGGGAACCCTTTGGTTACACTGTTTATCTATAGCTTCTTACAGATTAACATAGACTATTACAATTGCTATCTTCTAGGGCTGTCAAACAATTAAAAAAAATAAAAAAATTATCATGATTATTCACACTGTTAAACAATTATAGAATACCATTTATTTAAATATTTTGGATTATAGCCCACAAAAGCTTATGCCCAAATAAATTTTTTAGTCTCTAAGCTGCCACAAGGACTCCTTGTTGATTTGCAGAATACAAAGTTTGCACTTTATACCAAATCAGGATGTGTGGAGGATTGAGAGAGCGTCTGTCAGAAAGGACATTCCATGATTGGAACCTGTCCCTGTGCTGTGCTGGGGAATGTGGAATCTAAGAGGACCAGAATATGGTCACTGAGCCCCCTCAGTGAGGTGAGAGGAATTGTGATACACACCCAGCTCTAGTGTTAAACCCCTGCCTATTTCTAAACCTGTGCAGCGCAGAGCCCTCCACATGGCAGCAGCTGTTCCAAAGGAGGAGGGAGAAGAGGGATTCTGTGAGCGACCGAGAAACAACACAGACAGGACAATACACGGCTTCTCCACCTTGCAAACTAAGGGTGTTGACTGGGGATGATTTAGTATGTGCCTTAGGTTTTGACACCCTGGTCTCATTGGAGAGTGATGAGGGAAGAACCTGACCGGTGTCAGACATGCAGACCCTCCCAGCTTCCAATAACCAAGGGGCCAGGAATCCCTTACCCAGCAAGGTCACTGTCTCTTAGTTCTCCCGCATGACGTCCCTGTAGAGGGCTCTCTGAGCGGGGTCCAGAAGAGCCCCCTGCCCCTGGGTGAAATACACAGCGACCTCCTCGGCGGTCACCAGCATCTGAAACAACAAGAGCCCCCCCTCAGCACCTGCTGCCCCAGCCACTATCCAGCTAGTCAAGGGGGAGGAAGGACAGAGAAGGAGAATCCTTCCCGCACCTGGTTCAGAGCAGCCAGGAGGCTTCAGGGGGTGGGAAAAGGTGAGAGCTCCTTGTCCCCCACAGCACACGGAGGTGGTCAGGGTCTTCTCATTTCCCACATGCCTGCCAGCCACAGGCTGATACGGGAAGCAGAGCTCTGAGCCTGGGACAGGGACAGAAATCCCAACAGCTTCCCTTAGTATTTCACAGCAGCTTCTGACCAGTGGGGTCAGGCTCCAGCACTGGGAGTCTGGTCAGTTTTCCCAGCCCTGCCCAGGGGGGTGTTTCCAGGTTCAGAAATAGGGGAATGTTTCCCCTCCCCCAAACCCGCCAATGGGCCTGTTCAGAAAATTAGGCCCAGGTTGATCATGTTCCAGCAGGTTTATCAAACCCCGTCCCACCATGTGTGTTTAACCCCTTTGCAGTACTCCTCCTGCACCACCAAAAGCTCCCTAAAAATCCCCTACATGAGCTGGCTCCATCCCTTCCCTGTCCCCTGGAAGACGGGCCGATCTGGAGTGAAACCTGGACGGGATTCCTCAGCCTGTCAGGGCAAGAGGGGCGAGGGGGGAGGTTACAGAAGGGGCTGGAATCCATGTCACTTCCTGATTCCCCCAGGCTCTCTCCGTGCAGACAGACACTCTGATTCTATGACTCTGCGGGAATGTTCTTAATGTTTTCTCTGAATACTGTGCGTGCCTCAGTTTCCCCATGTGTTACAAGGAATAGCTTAGTGGTTTCTGCATTAGTCTGCTAAACCCAGGGTTGTGAGTTCAATCTTTGAGGGGTCCATTTAGGGAACTGGGGTAAAAATCTGTCTGGGGATTGGTCTTGCTTTGAGCAGGGGGTTGGACTAGATGACCTCCTGAGGTCCCTTCCAACCCTGATATTCTGTGATTCTATGACAAGTATCAAGCTGGTGAGATACAGGTGTGTGATCATTACAGAGTCCTCTAGAGGGCAGGTGTTACTGCAGAGTGGCTGCCTGGGCACAGAGAATGGCCAAAATTCTGTATCCGGGCAAGTGGTGGGTGGAGCCCTTCCTCTGCAAGGAGCCAGCGGAAGGTGCTGGAGAACTGCAAGAGAGGGGGAGTGTTTTCCTGGGAAAGAGGGAAAGCAGGGAGGAGGGCCAGCTGGGTGTCACTGAGGATGGGGGGCTGGAAGCAGGTCAATCTCCTGGTTCGGGACTCAGCGGAGAGAGCTCGGGATTCCCCCCCTAGATGGACTTTAGTGAATGCTCCTGATTTCTGTGCTAACAAGCTCTGTTCTATGCTGTGTTCCCAGTGACCAATAAACCCGTCTGTTTTCCAAGCTGGCTGAGAGTCACAGCTGACTGCGGAGGTGGGGTGCACGGCCCATGTGGGGGAGCGGGTCAGGCTTCTCCTTAGGCTGCCTCAGGGATTCAGTCTGGGGACAGAGAGGCTGGGGCCACACGCTCAGCAGGTGGAGGGGATGTTGGGGGTGCTCAAGGGCTGGGGTCCTGCCCCTACAGTGTGGGGGAACTTGCCTCCCCCAGCCCTATGTTCACCAACCACCAGCTGTACCCCATTCTTATCCCTGGCTCTCAGTCCCAGGCAGGGGGACTGAAACAATCTGGGGGACACTGAACCCCATTGAATCAAAGTGTAAACCCTGGCTAGGATGGAAACCCCTTCAAGCCAGGGGGTGCGGCAGGGCCCCACCATCCTAGATCCAACATCTGTGCAGCCCCCTGGCCCTGATTGTGCCTCTGGGCCCTGCTCCTTCCCTGGCCCCCAGCTGGAGCCCCCCCACCCTGCATTCAGTTTGTCCCCTGCCTACCTGCTGCCCCTTCCTATTCCGTGTGGATGGTCGGGGCATGGAAACAAAGCAGCAGATGGAGGGTTGGGGGTATGGGTGGGAACGTGATCCTGCCCCCACCCGACACACACCGGGAGCTGGCGGCAGCTTTCCCGGGTCCAGGGCAGGGAATCGCAGCCACCTCCGCTGGGAGCAGCCTGGGGCCAAACCTCCCCCTGCAACCCGGGTGTGACGGGGGGGGGGGGAGGTGGGTCTCTTTCACCTTCCCTCTGAGCGGGACCCCCTGGGGCAGGGGCCGGGCCAGGAAGGGCCGTGGCCTGGTTGGGGGCTCTGCCCTGGGAGAGGCTCCTGGGGAGCAGCGGGAAGGGCCCTGCTGGAGATTCCCCTCTCCCGGCTGCAGCCAGGGCTCCGGGCTCCCAGTACCAGCCGCCGGGGCTCGGGGATCTCGCCAGGAGCCTGGATCCAGAGTCACCGCAGCCACTGCGAGTCACTTCCTGCTGCTGGGACTGACCCCAGGGATCACTCCCCCCCAGTCTTTTAAATAAATAAATAAATACATTAAATTAATGGAAATATCCCATCTTGTAGAACTGGAAGGAACCAAGGTCATTAAGTCCAGCCCCCTGCCTTCACTAGCAGGACCAAGTACTGATTTTGCTCAGATCCTTTAGTGGCCCCCTCAAGGATTGAACTCATAACCCTGGGTTTAGCAGGCCAATGCTCAAACCACTGAGCTATACCTCCCCCCTTCCCCTTCCATGAGGCCCCGCCCCTGCCCTGTCTCTTCTCCACCTCCTCCTCCAAGCGGTTTTAATAATATATATACACGCAGTAAAGCCCCCGCCCCTGCACTGGGCTGCACCACCACTCCATCCCTGCTCTGCCTTTTCCAGGGGTGGCAGGTTTGTAGAAATTTTGGTGGTGACCAAAACCTGCCCCCCAAACTCCGCCCCCACCTGTCCTCCCCCTCCCTCATGAGCCATGGATACCGCACCCTCTTTCCCTCCCTCCCCCCGTGCCAGGCTGCTCTTGCTCTCACAGCCTCCCCTCCCCATGTCCCCCCTTTCCACCACAGTGACCCCCCCATTCAGAGTTTCCCTCTATTGCAGCCCTGTTCCCATCTGGCCCCTAAGTCTTCCCTGATTCCCCTGCATCGCCCCATCCCCCCTTCAGCCATTCCCTGCCTCCTGCATCTGCCCTGGACCCATCTCTCATCCTCCTCAATCCCACCTTATCTACACCCCCTTGCCCTCTTCAGCCCTCTTTCAGCTCCCCTCCTCTTCCTCTGTCCCACCCAGGAGTGGCTGTCCCAGCCCCAGCGCACCACGGGTTGGCTTCCCCCTACTCTGCACACAGTGGGTGCTGGCAGGGGTCATATAGGAAACATCTCTGTAGCAATGTGCTACCTGTACCAGTTGCTGAGGAATCTTTAGCGCATCTGGCATGTAAATATCTTGTGACTCCGGCTGCAACAGTGTCATAAGATTGCCTCTTCTCACTTGCAGCATTACCTCCTGCAAATGGAAACAAACTTGTTTGTCTAAGCCAGGGATGGGCAAACTTTTTGGACCGAGGGCCACATCAGGGTTGTGAAACTGTATGGAGGGCCAGGTAGGGAAGGCTGTGCCTCCCCAAACAGCGTGGCCCCCACCCCCTATCTACCCCCTCTCACTTCCCAACCCCGACTGCCCCCCTCAGAACATCCTACACTTCCAACCCCCCTGCTCCTTGTCCCCTCACTGCCCTGACTCCTACCCACACCCCTGCCCCCTGACAGGCCCCCCGGGACTCCCATGCCTATCCAACTGCTCCCTGTCCCCTGATTGCCCTGACCCATATCCACTCCCCCGCTCCTAACGCCCCCCCGACCCCACCCCCTATCCACCCGCCTTGCTCCACCTCTGCTGACTGCCCAATCCAACTGCCTCCTGCTCCCTGTCCCCTGACTGCCCCCTGGGACCTCCTGCCCCTTATCCAAATCCTCCCTGGCTCCCCACCCCCTTACCATGGCACTCAGAGTGGCAGGAGCTCACAGCCCTACCGGAGCCAGCCACGTCGCTCAATACTGCCTGGCAGGAGTGTTGGTCCAGCGCACTGGCGGCGCGGCGAGCTGAGGCTGCGGGGCAGGGGGAACAGCGGGGGAAGGGCTGGGGGCTAGCCTCCCCAGCCAGGAGCTGAGGGGCTGGGCAGGACGGATCCGCAGGCCGGATGTGGCCCAGGGACTGTAGTTTGCCCACCTCTGTTCTAAGAAATTGGCTGAACAAGAAGTAGCACTGAGTGGACTTCTAGGCTCTAAAATTGTACATTGTTTTATTTTGAATGCAGGTGTTTTTTACATAATTCTACGTTTGTAAGTTACACTTTCCGGATAAGGAGATTGCACTACAGTACTTGTATGAGGTGAATTGAAAAATAATATTTCTTTTTTTGGGGGGGGGTTTGCAGTGCGAATACTTGTAATAAAAA